ATTCAATGAGATAAATCCGATCAACAAAATCACAATTTTTTTATAATTTAATATCAGGCTCGGATCTTTCTTTTTAAAACTAAAGGTGTTTTACGTCATATGAGTAAATGAACTATTCGGTGAATACGGATCCAAATTTATTAACTATCTTAGAAAATATTCGTCCGCCAGAGGTCAAAATAATTGTTGTTGTCTAAAAATATCAAGAATTGTGAGGAAGATAAGTCATGTTTTTTTTTATATTTTGTGTCATCCTAAAACAAGATGTTTGCTTCACAATAGTCATTATTCTTATAAAACAAACGTTAAAACATGGCATATGCGGAGCATGATCTGTCTACCCTTCGGATGCACTTCAGATCACACCCGGGTTTTGGTATTGTTCGTGTTGCTCAGTCTTAAGTTCTTGTATGTTGTGTTTTGTAGGCTGTTGTTTGTCTTTCAAGTCGTTACCTTTTGGGTTTTCTTTGATGGCATTGGCATTTCGTTTTAGACTTTGTGTGTAATTTTCCCATTTGTATCTTCTGTCTCATGTTCAGTTAATCCTTTCAAAGTGTCCTTAAGTTTAGAATTTGGAATGCAAATATTAAATGTTCCATTATATTGAACGAGAAGATAGATATTTACCTAAAGTATACGTAGTATTATAGATTGTTGCAATTCCATCGTATTCACACCGCCATTAATGTAGTGTCACTGTAACTATGGAACACGAGTTGATTAGTCCCTGAACAGAAGCAAGTACTTTTTGAAATATCTTCATTAAGTATATTGGCAGAATGAGGGATATAACGTTGTTTGTAATGACACATATCTGATATGGCTATCCACAAGAGTGACGGCATCTTCAGTTCTTCCTCTCAGTTGAAATTGCAAGTACATAAGACAGACCTTTGAGTGTAGATGCTATTCTCCTTGTTTTAATGCATGTGGAGTTTCAGGGAGTTTGCAAGTGAACCTACAATACCTAAATCCATAAACTTGTTGTTTATAGAGTATAATTTGTCTGCCGGTTCAACAAAATTGTAAAGGAATACACTCATCATATATACCAGGACTAATATTTTGTACGCCAGACGCGCGTTTTGTCTACAAACGACTCATCAGTGACACTTGAATCAAAAGTTCAAATGGCAAAACAAAGTATGAAGTTGAAAACCATTGAGGACCCAAAATTCTTAACGGTTTTCCAAAATATAGCTAAGGTTTTCAATTCCCGAGGTAGACAATCCTCACTATAACAAAAAAATTCCAAGCTTTTAAACAGTTAAGATAAGTGTTAGCAAAATTTAGGTCTATGAAGACAGATTTACTTGAGTGTATTTAGTATTGTTTAAAAAAGGTACATTTACTTCATTTGAAGACTTAGCATGTGACATTCCCGATTAAGATTCATCATCCTTGAGGAGCAAATGAGATCACCTCCAGTTTTTTGCGGGTTGTATATTGCACAATCTATAGTTTTATATGGTGTGTTTTGTATTGTATACCGTTGTTTGTCTTTTGGTATTTTTTTTTCGTTTTTTGACATTGCGTTATCATTTTGTCATCGACTTTTGAGTTTGAATATTCCTTTGGTATCTTCAGCTTCTCCTTATCTTGGCTGATTTTGTTTTTTTTTTTTTATTAAAATAAAGTGAGATACAATATGACAGTTTGGTCTGATGCACAGTTTTTTTTTTCACTTTTCAATGAAAAACTTGCATGTAGTTTTAGTCTTAATTGGGAACTCAATTAAACTTTAAAGCGTTGGGAATGGCAAATATAAATACACTAAATCTTTTTGAATAAGTATGTTGGCATTACAGTTGTACCATGAGAAATAGAACAATGACGTAGATAGGTCAATGAAAATACACTCAAATGAGAACTACTGGTTACATTTTACGTCAATGAAATAAGAATCTGGAGACAAAAATAAACAAAAATAGTCTAGATGGCAACAAATAGTTTAAAAAATGGACAAATGAAATGTATCTACATGTACAATACCTAAACATTAAATCGCCCAGGGTGACAAAAAGCTGCATGAATCAAACATAAACTACCAACGGATCTGTTATCAACGCCGAATACTCGTTATATATATAACATTAAGATACGCTTAAAACACAAAGGAGGTTCCTGACTTTGAACGATCACATGAACACGTGGATCGTATCAATACATATCAGTATGCTTCCAATGATTAAACAATGGACATGACAAAATGATACTTCTAGATAAAATGAATGATTTAATACTTTCTTTGTTGATTATGGATTATGTACTCAGATGTCATTGATTTGACAATGACGGTTTGAAGCAAGATCTATTCAACATCTCGATGCATTTTGCAAATGCAAAATTAAGTCCCAAATGGATATGATAAGGATATACTTTTCATCATAAGTGTCTGGTACAACCCCAACTTGACGTTTTGTTCTGATATACAGATATCTCTTTACCAGAAAATGGAACAAAACGGGCGCTAGATGAACCAAAATTCAGACACTTTATCAGAATAGGTCAAAGCTGTTTCGTCGTGCATTCAAAAATGCATTTAAACTCGTCGGCGTACAATGACCATACGGGTTTATAATCATTTCAAGAAACCCGAGAATGTTGATGCTTTACTCTCTCCCCACCACACATGTGAGGTGGTTCAAACAAAGCCTGCAAAAATATGGTTTTCATATTGAACAATCATAATTTGGAATATCCAACTCGGAATTCACAGCAAACTGGGAATCCAAATTATACCCCTACATCATTTTAGATTAAAGAAATCACTAATTCGTCGATCTAGCTCTCTATTGATGGTAACATGAAATGGGATAATCAACATCTTAGGTCTTTATACAGGATTCATAGATTTCATAAAGACATTATGAAAGAATGGCAGAAGATACCAAATGGATAATCAAACTCATAAGTCAAAGACAAACTGACAACGCTGTGGCATAAAACAAACAACAAGACGAAAAGACAAACAACATTCCACAAAAAAACACAAAATGGAAGACTAAAGACTGAGCCACACCAAAGTTGTAACCACCATTCTCATCACAGAAAAAAAATCGCCTTCAGATATATTAAGGTGAGGTATATTCAACCATTAGTTTCAATCAGATGTAGATTCTTAAAAAATTCAATCTCAATCACAATCCTTACAATTTTGATGTAATATCAATGTTTGGGGTTTTCTACGCTTTTCACTACAATTGCCCATGCTTAATTGAAACATCGATTACACGTCTCATTACGCAGAGCTCTTTTGTACAAAAATGGGAATCGTAGATACAAGTTTTCAGTTTTCGATCATGAATAATCTTACTTTGTAAAATATTGCACTGAATCCAAAAACAAATGAAACACGGATGATATCATCAAAATGCTGGACTTTTTTTATCGACAACATGTTTGTTGAGTATGGAGAATTGGTATTTTAACAACTATAGGTTTTCAAATTGGTAATAATTCTACACCCCTTCTGGTCGACTTGTTTTGTACTCATTTGAAGCCAAATTCATACAACACTTTCTGAAAGACAAAAAGAAAACACATCTTTAAAGTTCTTTTATTTTACTTTCCGATATATTGAGGATGTTCTGTCATTGAATAATCCGAATTTCAGCGAACTTTTGCATTTCATATATCCCAGGGAATTTGGGATTAAGGAAACTACTAATGAAAGTTATAAAGGTTGACTATTTCATCGAATGTTAACAAACACTCAATTGATACATTTCAACCGAATTGTGTATAATTACATTTTAGCAAACTTAACAGTGATATTTGGTGTAAACTGGTAAAATGAAGACAACTTAATTTGTTAAAATATCATGTAGCCATACTAAATGCCTAGCTTGTTTGAGTACTTATGTCACATACTTACATAATGTTATGAAGTGTCGTTATGTGTTCATACCACCAAATCACAGTACGTCACATCCGGTTTCATATATAAAAAGGTTGAAAACAAATATTCCCTTGAATTTGATAGTTGTAGGAAATCAATCTTCCAATCGTGAGTCATAAACATATATCTTGGGTGTTTCAAAGCACAACTCTTATTTTATTTGGTATTTCTATTAAATATTTTGGAAACCTCAGATGACCTGGTTACTAGAGCTTGTAAACAGGATAAAAAGGAGTGAAAAGTTGATTGGTTTACTCCCAGTGATAGTTATTATCTTAAATGTAACGAAATGTTATCCTTGTACTGGACAGGATAAAACTTTACTTATTCAAAGTATTTCTTTATTTGAAACAAAGATAAATTCTGCACATTTTTTTGGAAAATGCTACTTTAACAAAGACTAATAAGAGAAAAACAATGATAGTGTTACTGCTTCAGAATTCTGGACGATTTTCTCTTAAAATCTCCTTACCAAGACAGGAATATGGCCGTTGTTATTCAATAGTTCGTTTCTATGAATGTTGCATTGTTGTATGTTTTTGTTGCACTTCTGTTGTTGTGTTATTTCGTTGTTTTCCTCTTATAGTTGATGTGTTTCCCTCGGTTTTAGTTTGTAACCCGGATTTGTTTTCTCTCAATCGATTTATGACTTTTGAACAGCGGTATACTACTGTTGCCTTTATTTATGGATTTTTTAACAATATGTCAATAAGAAAGCATCCAAGCGATAGAAAAGACATCTTGAAGTTAGCTTGCAAAATATGTCAACAATAAAAGGTAATATATATAATATGTCAAATACTAAATCGCCCAGATTCTTTTGAAAAATAGTGGAAAATTAGAGAGACTGCAAACAAAATGCCATCAATACCAAATTGTCCAAAAATAACGAAGCAAAACACATGAAACATGAAAAGAACATGAAAAACGACAACAAACATATGCCTGACTTGGAACACACATGAACCATTGTTATCAAATTAGTCAATGAAACGAAATTTAGAGAATTTCTGAGTTTGCCCACAAACTGTTATTCATATAGTATATATACTAGTCTGCAATGGAAAGGGCACAGTTGGCACCAATAGGAATGTCTATGACCTGTCGATCACCTTTATTGCAGAAACATACATAAATGTTAACAAAGTTGCTGCAAACATAACAGGAGACACATACACTATCGATAGATGAATTTTGCACATTTAATGCGATTTCCTTGGGTTTTGTTTCTTTTTAAGATGAATTAACGAGGTTTATACATTGCTTAACTATTGTTGCATCTTATGATTCACATTTACCGAACATTTATTTTTTCACAAAGAAGCATACAATAAAAGAAGCAAACAATATTTACTACAAAAAATAAAGAAATGTATTTCCGTATGTACAATAAAAAACAAACCTCAAACTTATTATAACTCGTTGGAATCCGACTGAAATAGTGAAATCAATTTACCACATGGAAGAACCGACTATTACAATACGTTATATTGCTTGCAGAACGTTATGGATATTCACCAATATTGCACTAGGCGAAAACTGCACTAGTTGAATAGCACATGGAAATGGCCACTTTAATCGCAATTTCAATTTCGAAAATAAGTCATACAATAATAAAGTCAGTTCAGCTAGAAAGGTGAATTTCACTACCCAATACAAGAGTTATTACACAAATATAAATGAATTAAATTCTTCACAGAATATACAATGCATGAGAAATTTTGTTTGATAAAAATGTATCGGAAGAAAAAGAAAGATCACGATGAATTGCACCCGTTTGGCACAAAGACATTTTTTTCATTCCAATACTTCCAATGTACTTCAATTCGAATATTACCTCTTACATTGCTAAAACTGATTTCAGTAGTCTACTTAAAACAAACATAGATACAGAAGTGCGCATAATACGCCATTTCAAAACCTAAAAATTCATTACATAGATTTAAAGGGCATTAGCTGTCAAAATCATGGACACCGGTTTGACCCAAATTCTCATATTTTATTTATAACATACTAAAACGTATATCAAAATTACAAAATTAACAACACATGGGCTCGCTATAATATATTAGCATTTCGAACGTTTTTTAAACCCGATGCCCTCTTATTATCCATCAAGTTGTCCCTCGAAGACTGCCGACGGTCATATAACCCGGTATAAACATAAACATAAATAAAAATAGATAGCGAGCACGAACAATCAAATTTTCTAGGTCTATTTGATTTCATGTTAGGTTAAAAAATATATGTAAATCATCGTTTTACCTGCATAAGAATGAATTTTTATGGGCCGGATCAGTCAACGAAATGGTTATTTCTTGCGTGAAAATGTCAATATGACTTAAAATAGAATTCGACTTCGCTAACATAGATTCTAATAAAGTCATTTTCTCAATTGTGTTACTTTCCCTATACCTTAATGGAATTTTATTTAAGTAATAAATAAATTCAGTAATTATAAGACTTTAATAAAATTCTATCATTTTTTTTATTCACGTTCGGATCATTTTCAACGTCTTGTTACCTGTACATGTTATATGTAATTAGTTTCCCCCACAAAATTTGTGTCCTTGTATTTAATAGACCTTTTTCATATTACCGACTTTTGTCTCCGGAGTTTATATTTTTTCGACAGGTTACCTATTCTGTGGTAGGACATCCTGGTACTTGGTCAAGTAAGAGCAACGTAAAAAAGTAAAATCAAGCTTTTAATCGATACAATGTATGGGGAAAATTAACTGCTTTATATTTTCCTAACACGATAAAATCATCAGAAAACAGAAAACTTTCCCCTCAAATTGCACGGATTATGTGTTTGATTTTTCTTCTTTTGGTTGCTCTTACTTGACCGAGTACCAGGATGTCTAACCACAGAAAAGGTAACCTGTCGAAAAATTATATAATCCGGAGTCAAAAGTCGGTAATATGAAAATAGTCTATTTGAGGTTTATTTCTCATTTTGATTCGAGCCGCACACGGAGCAAAACCAAAGCTAAAGATATACATCCTCCCTCCAAAACTTACTACGAAAATTTTCTGCTGCTTATCATTTAGTTCCAAAACTAGCATCGTGGCATGTATTAGAGAGAGAACTTGAAAGTATGTTGTAAATGGACTGGCCAAGTTTGTTTTATGCTTTTATGGTATACCCGGCAGCTCTTGGTATGATTTTCTTTCTGCTTAATCACCTTTCAGTTAGTGTGACGTTATCAAGTTTTGATTTACAAGTTTTTTTTGTTTTTTCTTTTGTTGCAATTTAATGACAAAATTACAGCCCAAATAATATAACTTATCACTTAAGCCTTTAATTTATTGGTTCATTGTTAAATTTAGTACGTCAATGGGGGTTGAAACAGTAAGATATATACGTATGTATTTATGTAGTACAAAAACATGTGCCGGTTATAGTTCTACCAAATCATATGAATTGTAATACCACTGCAATATCATATGACTTGTCATAGCCCTACAGAATCATATGACGTGTAATAGTCCTATAAATTCAAATGAGGTAAAATAGCCCTACACAATCAAATGACGTGAAATAGCCTTACATATCAAATGACGTGAAATAGCCTTACATATCAAATGACGTGAAATAGCCCTACAAAATCATATGACATGTAATAGCCTTACATATCATATGACGTGAAATAGCCCTACAAAATCATATGATATGTAATAGCCTTACATATCATATGACGTGAAATAGCCCTACAAAATCATAGGACGTGTAATAACTCTACAAAATCACATGACATGTAATAAACTTACAAAATCATATACCGTGTAATACACTACAAAATCATATGACTTGTAATAGCCCTGTAAAATCATGACATGTAATAGCCTTACAAAACCATTAAAGGAGGTGAAATAGCGCTACAAAATCATATGATATAAAATAGCCCTACAAATTCAAATGACGTGAAATAGCCCTACAAAATCATAGGACGTGTAATAACTCTACAAAATCACATGACATGTAATAAACTTACAAAATCATATAACGTGTAATACACTACAAAATCATATGACATGTAATAACCCTACATAATCATATGACTTGTAATAGCCCTGTAAAATCATGACATGTAATAGCCTTACAAAACCATTAAAGGAGGTGAAATAGCGCTACAAAATCATATGATGAGTAATAGCTCTACAAAATCATATGATATGAAATAGCCCTACAAAATCATATGATATGAAATAGCCCTACAAAATCAAATGACGTGAAATAAGCCCTACATTATTAAATGACGTGAATTAGCGGTACAAAATCATATGATGAGTAATAGCTCTACAAAATCATATGATATGAAATAGCCCTACAAATTCAAATGACGTGAAATAGCCTTACAAAATTAAATGACGTGAATTAGCGGTACAAAATCATATGACGAATAATAGCCCTACAAAATCATATGATATGAAATAGTCCTACAAAATTAAATGACGTGAAATAGCCCTACAAAATCATAGGACATGTAATAGTGCTACAAAATCTTATGACGAGTAATAGCCCTACAAAGTCATATGATACGAAATAGCCCTACAAAATCAAATGGCGTGAAATAGCCCTACAAAATACTATGACGAGTAATAGTCCTACACAATCATATGACGTGTAATAGCCATACATATTCATATGACGTGCAATAGCTCTACACCTACATATGTTTAATAGCCCTACAAAAGATAATGACATGTAATAGCCTTACAAAATCTTATGATGTGTTCTAGCCCTACACAATCATATGATGTGTCCTAGCTCTACACAATCATATGACGAGTAATAGCCCTTCAAAATCATATGACATTGTAATAGCCCTACAAAATCATATGACGTGTACTAGCTCTACAAAATCATTTGACGTGTACTAGCCTTACAAATCATATGACGTGTCATAGCCTTACAAATTCATATGAAGTGTAATACCCCTATATATAAACGAAAAACAATTTTCTGTAAAGTCAAAAAGTGTTACATTATAAACAGAAAATAAGTTTGTCAAATCAAAGCTGATATATTATAAACAAAATTCAAGTTTGTCAAATCAATAACTGTTACATTATAAACAGAAAGTCAACAACTGTAACCTTATAAACAAAAATCAAGGTTGTTAAGACAATAGCTGTTATATCATAAACAGAAAGTCAAGAACTGTTATATCATAAAAAGAAAATAAGTGAAACTTTAGACGTATTTCATATCTAAATGTATAATATGTGTGTAACTTTACATATCTAAATGTATAATATGTGTGTAACTTTACATATATGTGTAACTTTACATTAAAATCTTCGTTTTTATGTGGAAGTCTAAAATATATTACTAAGCTGTACATATAAATATAAATATAACTTATTTAACAAACGTTAGGATTTACAAGGTTTTAGTCACCACAGTTTTACTTTCGAAACTAACAAAGATTCTATTTATATTTCCCACGCAGGGCTAAACATTGTTCATATTTCAACCCAAATTGTATTTACCCATTCTCCTGATACAAGCAAAGCGCCTTTGAGAATAGCACAAAAGTTACACTTACACTTGATTTATACATATATTGCTGATATTTTTCAACGAGGATTTCCGCTAGAAATATTTGGATTCTCGTAACAGTATCTTAGCAAACACGAAATCCTGTATCTAGGGTTAACAAGTCTTCTACATAATGGACACAATGATTCCGCTAAAAATCCTGTGAATGTTCCAACGTAGTTACGGTTTGTATCTGTAGCTGCAAAAACAAATATATATATAATTTTATTTCAACAAATGATAAGGCGAATGGTAATTTATTTTAAAGTAACAGCATCATTAAATATTATCTTTATAATTCAGTCCACCTACTTTCATTTCAAAGTTTTGAAAGAATGATGTAATGATTTAACGTCAGGATGGAAAGAAAGACACAACGGGAGTTGTGATTTTGGAGCTTGACGTACGCAAGTCGCCATCAATTTGAATTAACATTACTTCGCCTATTTCGCTGGTCATTCTGTGTCATTTGGTCTCTGAGGAGAGTTGTCTCATTGGCAATCATACCAAATCTTCTTATTTTTATATTAGAGCGTTTTTAGTTCATTCCGAATTTATTTTATTCCCATGGTTTGTCATGTATATACTTAACTAATTGTTTTATATATTTTTTTGTGGGAAAAGGGGGAGGGGGTAAATATAATTTCAGCTGGACCAAGTACAGATCTGTAATGAGTGTTTGCTATATTTGACGTCCCAAGTAACGAGTGTTTGCTATATTTGACGTCCAAAACAAATTAAAAGTTTTGTTGTTTTGCTTGACAGCGATGCAATAACGAAAGTATGTCCTTTCGCGTCGTCGTGAACTACGTCATACTTTGCATAATCTGTATCTTTTTGAAAACGAATTGACAGAAAATATCCAAACTTGCAAATAATCCTTGACAGGTCATAAAGCTTTGCTATTACTATGTATCAGTTTCAGTGTTAATCGGCAGCTCATCAAAAACAACCTGACATAATTCCCCAAAACTTGTTCAGGTTATATTACAGGGCACGAAATTGTACATTTTCTTCTGAATGATTTTGGCTGTTTCCAATACCAAAACATGAATATCGCCATTTCTGCTTTGAAAGACTCGCACTATAAGTTATATGGTTTGCTACTGATCCCCTACGGATCCATAGAGTGTTAGTAAAATTCATAGGGGGTTGAGGCCGAAGGCCGAATCCTCTGTGGATTTTACATACCCTCTATGGATCCGTAGGGGGTCAGCAGTGAACCGTATAACAAATTCATCGCACACGGGACTTTTACTGCCAAGTTTTGTTTATTGATAAATAAGGAAATACAATAACATAATAGATGACGTCACCAGTAATAGTAGACGTGACTTCATGAACCCTATATGAAATTTAGTGACCACCATACAGATCCATAGGGGGTCACCACGTGACTGTGTTAAACCAATCATAACGTCACTGTTTCCCTGAGGTGCGATAAATACAGTGTTGAGTTTACAAATTTTTAATTGTTATTGTCGAAGTTTAATTCCACTTTGTTTTATGATTTTATAAAAGTGGTTTTTCTTTGAGACAGTTTAATTTTGTAAACACAAGCAATTAAAATTGACATATTGTATAGACACTCGTCTTCCGTTTAGGACTGTATGTTGACCTCTAGATGTCTTCCCGTTATTTGTGTCGTTGGAATGCTGACTTATAGATTGAGCATGGCCCAATTGTATAACATGCATATATAAGTTTAACTTTTAATTTTCTAGTTTTAAAGAGCATGTATAACATAAAAATTAATTTGAATGCTGCCACTTCTGAGAATGCACATTTTGGCACATGATTTTAACCCACTTTTTTATGGTGTGGAACAAAAACAGGGATATGTTAACAAAGTCTATCAGGCCACTTTATCATTTATACTGTTTCATACAAATAAATTAGAAACAATTATCAATCATTGCTAGTAAAGTCTTTAATGAAACTTGAATAGCTGCAGAGTGTAAGTTTCCTATCCTTTACCTCTCCCTACTAAATATTTGTATCTTAATACAATTATTAACTACCATACAGATAATATTACCTTGATTGTTATTATTAAGATTTTGTTGTAACCACCATACAGGTAATCTTACCTTGATTGTTATTATTAAGATTTTGTTGTAACCACCATACAGATAATCTTACCTTGATTGTTATTATTAAGATTATGTTGTAACCACCATACAGGTAATCTTACCTTGATTGTTATTATTAAGATTTTGTTGTAACCACCATACAGATAATCTTACCTTGATTGTTATTATTAAGATTTTGTTGTAACCCCCCTACAGATAATCTTACCTTGATTGTTATTATTAAGATTTTGTTGTAACCCCCCTACAGATAATCTTACCTTGATTGTTATTATTAAGATTTTGTTGTAACCCCCCTACAGATAATCTTACCTTGATTGTTATTATTATGTTGTAACCACCATACAGGTAATCTTACCTTGATTGTTATTATTTTGTTGTAACCACCATACAGGTAATCTTACCTTGATTGTTATTATTAAGATTTTGTTGTAACCCCCCTACAGATAATCTTACCTTGATTTTTATTATTAAGATTTTGTTGTAACCCCCCTACAGATAATCTTACCTTGATTGTTATTATTATGTTGTAACCACCATACAGGTAATCTTACCTTGATTGTTATTATTATGTTGTAACCACCATACAGGTAATCTTACCTTGATTGTTATTATTATGTTGTAATCACCATACAGATAATCTTACCTTGATTGTTATTATTAAGATTTTGTTGTAACCACCATACAGGTAATCTTACCTTGATTGTTATTATTAAGATTTTGTTGTAACCACCATACAGATAATCTTACCTTGATTGTTATTATTAAGATTTTGTTTTAACTACCATACAGATAATCTTACCTTGATTGTTATTATTAAGATTTTGTTGTAACTACCATACAGATAATCTTACCTTGATTGTTATTATTAAGATTTGTTGTAACCACCCTACAGATAATCTTACCTTGATTGTTATTATTAAGATTATGTTGTAACCACCATACAGGTAATCTTACCTTGATTGTTATTATTTTGTTGTAACCACCATACAGATAATCTTACCTTGATTGTTATTATTAAGATTTGTTGTAACCACCCTACAGATAATCTTACCTTGATTGTTATTATTAAGATTATGTTGTAACCACCATACAGGTAATCTTACCTTGATTGTTATTATTAAGATTTTGTTGTAACCACCATACGGATAATCTTACCTTGATTGTTATTATTAAGATTTTGTTGTAACCACCATACAGGTAATCTTACCTTGATTGTTATTATTAAGATTTTGTTATAACCACCATACAGATAATCTTACCTTGATTGTTATTACTAAGATTTTGTTGTAACTACCATACAGATAATCTTACCTTGATTGTTATTATTAAGATTTTGTTGTAACCACCATACAGGTAATCTTACCTTGATTGTTATTATTAAGATTTTGTTGTAACCCCCCTACAGATAATATTACCTTGATTGTTATAATTAAGATTTTGTTGTAACCACCATACAGATAATCTTACCTTGATTGTTATTATTAAGATTTTGTTGTAACTACCATACAGATAACATTACCTTGATTGTTATTATTAAGATTTTGTTGTAACCACCCTACAGATAATCTTACCTTGATTGTTATTATTAAGATTTTGTTGTAACCACCATACAGGTAATCTTACCTTGATTGTTATTATTAAGATTTTGTTGTAACCACCATACAGATAATCTTACCTTGATTGTTATTATTAAGATTTTGTTGTAACCACCATACAGGTAATCTTACCTTGATTGTTATTATTATGTTGTAACCACCATACAGATAATCTTACCTTGATTGTTATTATTAAGATTATGTTGTAACCACCATACAGGTAATCTTACCTTGATTGTTATTACTAAGATTTTGTTGTAACCACCATACAGGTAATCTTACCTTGATTGTTATTATTAAGATTTTGTTGTAACTACCATACAGATAATCTTACCTTGATTGTTATTATTAAGATTTTGTTGTAACCACCATACAGGTAATCTTACCTTGATTGTTATTATTAAGATTTTGTTGTAACTACCATACAGATAATCTTACCTTGATTGTTATTATTAAGATTTTGTTGTAACCACCATACAGGTAATCTTACCTTGATTGTTATTATTATGTTGTAACCACCATACAGGTAATCTTACCTTGATTGTTATTATTTTGTTATAAACCCCATACAGGTAATCTTACCTTGATTGTTATTATTTTGTTGTAACCACCATACAGGTAATCTTACCTTGATTGTTATTATTATGTTGTAACCACCATACAGGTAATCTTACCTTGATTGTTATTATTATGTTGTAACCACCATACAGGTAATCTTACCTTGATTGTTATTATTAAGATTTTGTTGTAACCACCCTACAGATAATCTTACCTTGATTGTTATTATTAAGATTTTGTTGTAACCACCATACAGATAATCTTACCTTGATTGTTATTATTAAGATTTTGTTGTAACCCCCCTACAGATAATCTTACCTTGATTGTTATTATTAAGATTTTGTTGTAACCACCATACAGATAATCTTACCTGGATTGTTATTATTAAGATTTTGTTGTAACCCCCCTACAGATAATCTTACCTTGATTGTTATTATTAAGATTTTGTTGTAACTACCATACAGGTAATCTTACCTTGATTGTTATTATTATGTTGTAACCACCATACAGATAATCTTACCTTGATTGTTATTATTATGTTGTAACCACCATACAGGTAATCTTACCTTGATTGTTATTATTAAGATTTTGTTGTAACCACCATACAGATAATCTTACCTTGATTGTTATTATTAAGATTTTGTTGTAACTACCATACAGGTAATCTTACCTTGATTGTTATTATTATGTTGTAACCACCATACAGGTAATCTTACCTTGATTGTTATTATTATGTTGTAACCACCATACAGGTAATCTTACCTTGATTGTTATTATTAAGATTTTGTTGTAACCCCCCTACAGGTAATCTTACCTTGATTGTTATTATTATGTTGTAACCACCATACAGATAATCTTACCTTGATTGTTATTATTAAGATTATGTTGTAACCACCATACAGGTAATCTTACCTTGATTGTTATTATTAAGATTTTGTTGTAACCACCATACA